GGGGCGTAAATTTCCGATTGTGAGCATTTTCCGATGTCAGAAGCACGGGCTATCACCCACCTAGTCCAATATTCTTTTTCGTTTTTTTTTCATTTTTTTCTTGTAATTTTTCGGTATCCTCCGTGAAATTTTGTTTTCAGATTTGGGACAATGTTAGAAAATCTGCATATTCGACGGAAAAGGAGGGAGTGCTTGTATGGATTGAAGTGGATGTGTCTAAATGTGCAGGAGAGTGTTTTGGCGATGTTGAAACGGTAGCTAGCTTTATTGAAGCCGATAAGAAGGTGGTTACTTCTTTCTTTTCATAACTCTTTCAATTTTTCTCTTTCAGTTTTTTTTTATAGCGGAGCAAATATTCACTTTGATGTCCCAATATTTAAGGAACTCACGGAGGCTATGAATATGTCGGTTTACTCTGCAGTCGCGAGAAAGCCAAGAAGTCGTCGCGGCTATTTCGAATCTACACTTCTATTCGTCGTTGTCTGCATATCTGTTATGATTTTAGTCGCGCTTATTTTCGTTGTCCAGCAAAGAAGCAGCAGAAAGCGAAAAGTGGTGGAAAATGCATCCAGTTGGATGCCAACCCACAGAGTTCCGATAAGTGAGGAGTTCTTCTGCGGTTTTCTTATAGTTGTTTGAACATTCGGATGCAGAGTTGTTAAGGTCTGAAAGCCACCAAAGAAAACAATCGGCACCACTTAGTTGCCTTTGGAAGTGCGAAACGCAAGCGATTTGATCCATCTCAAGTTACTTTGCTCGAGGATAAACTCTCACCTGACTTACCGAGGTAAAGCTTCGACGGTTATTATAGCTGAAGTTTTCCCTGTTCATACTTCACCAATAGATCTATTTATTCGTTCCAGAGTACGTGTGCAACCAAAGCCGAGAAGATAGAACCTCAGCCATCTACACTCCATGTCGAAGCAGCTTCCACTACGCCTATCTCTTCTATATCAACTTCTGAAGGGATAAATCAGAGAGGCCCATATGGTCGAACTGCTCTCATGGTGCTGGTCAGGAATACTGCGAAAACGGAAGAGCAAATAGTTGAAGAACTAGCCAAGTTACACGCTGCTGGAGCCGACCTGAACCTATGCGATGACTCTGCAGTTCACTGATAATTTTTTGACTTTTTATTACGCCAACGCTTCTTGAACTACTGTAAGTATTGCGATTCCCATATAAACCAGTGAACCATCTTCCAACCATAAGTGAAATGAATGAATTCTTCGGCGTTGATCAGTCAATTTTTTGGGATTCGGCACGCATTCCACTTCCGTTCAGAGTCGTAGTGACTTATACTATAGTCTCTGCGGACGGTTGGGCGTGTCAGCCAGTATGAGTGTGTCACCCTATCAAAGCCGTTCTCTGCCTTCTTGTTGAAGAGCGTCTGCGACAAAAAGTGGTAGAAGACTAGTAATACGAAGGAATACACAGTATTGTCACTGCACGCTCCAACAACCGGTGTTGTAGAACGAGCCGTTGGCACCGCGCCAGCGTAGCTGCCACGGACGACGCCCAACCGTCGCGCAGCGAACTACACTATACTTGATTGCGCGACAGAGCGACTGTGGCCAATACATTGACTTGCACGGCCAGCCGATGTACAATTCTGTGTTCTTATTCTCCCAAATTAGTGCCAGCTCACCGTCTCCGCAGGGTAGAAGGCTTGGTTGGCCTGGCCAGGACCGATCGGGGTTTCACCCAGCCACCGGTGATTGGCCCTTGCCGCTACACACCTCTGCCTCATTCTCTATCTGAGCCATCTATTTACACATGCTTCATTCCACATATTCTTAAGATTATCCTTACCTGGTTTTTAAAGCGTACTGGCGCACTGAAATGCTTGAAGCTAACTTTCTAAAGACGTTCGAACATTCGCTAGTACCAAACGAACCCTAATTGCTGTCATTTTTAGCTGGCGATACTGCGCTGCACATGGCTGTCTCTTCTGGTCGTGTAGCTGTTGTGCGCAAACTCCTAGAACTTGGAGGCATCACCGACAATTCGCGACAATACTAACTCCACCTGCCTTCATCTTGCTGCTCGTGCCTGCGCACCGTCTATGGTGGCGGCGCTTTTGAAAGAAGAAATGCGTTGGAGTGCTGTGGTGATCCTGCAACGATACTGATGCTTGACTTCAGCTGTAATACTAAGGCCTTTATCTTCAGGTAGGACGCTCTTGATGACGATAACAGGACAGCATTGATGCTAGTGGCGATGTATGACATGGTGGACACGAAGATTGCTGAAATGCTATGTGATGCCGGAGCACAAGTGAATTGTGATGGAGACAACGTATGTAATTCGTGTAAGCGGATGAAAAAAATGATTGGAAATTAGTCATGGATGCGTTGAATGTCTCCCACTTCCTTTACATTACAGAAAGATAGCCATTCAAGCGATTACTCTGCCTGGGGTTCGGGGAGCGGGGCGGCAATACCGTGTCCCTTCCAGCCCACCTCATACAACGCGGTATGAGTGTGCAGTTGTCTTCCAAAAGGATTCCCAGATTGAATTGGGAAGGCTTGGATCCTACATGGAAGGCAGCTATTACCATCTACTCTTCCCGTGGTGCCCTTTCTACGCACTTTCTGAGTGTTAACATTCTAACTTGCTTAAAGGCAAAGCCCGCGACCACAGATTGTGGGTAACGGAACCCACATAGGAACGAAAAAGGGCTAGGTATCTGATTAGCGGAGAAAAGCAGCAGAAAAACAGCCGAAAATGCCCTAAATAGGATTCCATATCGACTCCAACTTGTACATGCATGCAATGAAGAAAACGCATGTTTGTACGAATTTCCACTCGTCGTTATCATGAAAGATATCAGCTCTTTTATCGTATCACCTCACTCTCACCATTCGGAATGGAGAGAGATAGCATAGTGGCTACTAGCTAGTGGCTAGCAGCCGGTGGGGGTCGGCATGGGCCTAAGGGGCGCCCATGGGCCTAATTGGTTAGCTTAAAGCGGAATTCTTGCCGATTTTCACTTTCTGAAAGATAGCGCAGCCTCCGCACTCTCCTCCTGGATCGTATGACACATTTGATAAGTCATAGCCTTATTTTATCGCGGAAAGTGCCTTT